GGTAAGACGTCTCAGGTTTAGCCAGGTTCAGCTGGAATTTTCTAGCACCTTTTTCAAAATTCTGACTGCCTTACGTAAGGCGCTTTCAGCGGCCTGGATCCGCCCCTGCACAGTGTACACAAAGTAATCTGGGTCATTTGCTTCATATAATAAATCAAAACTAAAGCCAAAGTATAAAGCTTTGTAACTAAAGGATGAACCGAGGAGTTTGTTTTAGTCATAAAGCATCATCGATATACAATGATATAATTAACAAATAAATTGAATGCTAGAATGAAAATAAAGTAGTTTGATTGTTAAAAACACTACGTTTCGATCATGTACTCGTTATCAAGTGGCTGGAAAAGAAACGAGCCGAGCAAAGAGAAGGCGAGATTCGATAAATAGAAAATAATGCGAGTTGCAAGGCAACCGAAAACAGAATAAAATGTTTAGCTAATTTGCAAATCTGATTTTAATTTTTAATCTGAATCTTTAATTCTGATTCTGATTTTATTTCTGATTCTCTGTCCTATTTCTGATTCGACTAATTCTTGTTCATCTTCAATCAGAATTAGTTCCCAATACATTCATCACAGCAGTGTTGTCAAAATAGCAAGGGGAGTTCTTGCACAAAATGTTGCGAAAAACAATAACTAAAGTAAAAATATGCAATTGTCAGCATCAACAAGGGGACTCAGCCCCCTCGGCTCTCCTAGCACTACACCCCTGCATCAAAAGCTTTCGTTGTGCTGTATCAAAAGCGTGGCTGATATTGATTCCTATGACATTAATTTAAATCACCCGCGCTTAATAATAAGGAAGTTGTTTTTTGTTGCTCATTTGTTGTCTCGCTTAATTTGTCGTAAAACTTTTCTGTTTCTTGTGGGTTTGCTTTAGTGATACCTGTGTGAGACCCATAAACATCGATTAATGTAAGTATGTGATTCTTTTGAAATTGGTTTTTAATTGTATCGCAGCGGTTTCAGATATTCCATATGTCCTTCAGCACATAGTTAATAGAGGGGGCTCCCCATTAGTTAATAGCACATAGTTAATAGAGGGGGACTTTCCATATGAAGCTCTTTCAGAGCTCTTTCCATATGTCCTCCAGCAATATTCTGGGAAATTGATGTTTTGTTACTCTTCTCGTTTGTATAATTGTCTAATGTAGCTTTAAAACATCAAAATTTAATTTTGATACTGTATTTAGTTAATTATTGTTGAAAATATACATAAAATGAATTGAATTGAAATGATTCACTCGTTTACTACTGTCCATACCTTGGCTATGTTGTTTTTGCTTTTTTTGTGAACAGTAAAGCCAAGTCCATATGCCATGGTGTCAGTTGATAAACAGAAAAGTCGATGCTTGTTGATGTTTTCATTGCAACTTGTCAGGTTTATTGTATTTTGCGAAAATTTTCGCATCATGCTCGTTTCGAGATTCGAGGTTGTATTTTGTAAATTGCGAAAACTGATTTTAAAAACTTTATTTGCCCTGAACAACGACCGAAAACATGCAATTCATATTCAGGGTGGCTCTGTTCATGCAAATAGCCTAGTTCATGTCCCATTCAACGTTAGATAACTCATTGACACATTTTGGAAAATGGTCCAAAAACCGAGCAGCGTTGGTAGCACTAGGGGTCAAATAGGGAACGGGATCAAATAGGGAAATCGGGGTCATATAGGGAAATCGTTGATAACTCCAAAAATTGGACATATATCTCTAAACAAACCTCAGAATCAGATTCGGCATGCCTCAATCTACCTTTTAGATGCTTATTTAATTAAACTACGGCAATTTTAACAGATTAAATGATAATGTTTTTCTTCTACGTTAGCTTGATGCGTGTCTCCTCTGTAGCGACGGGAGCAAATAGGCAAAACACGTTGAAAAGCATCGATTTAACTAAAAATAAATAGCAAAAGGTAGAAATAACAATATAAAATACATATTATCTTCATATTCATCCAAATTTCACACATCCTGCAACGAGGGTTACAAGATTTCTCAAAATAAATCAGCTGAGTGATCGACGCGCTCGGGGTCAAATAGGGAAATCGCTGTTTGGGGTCAAATAGGGAAATCTTCAAAAACAGCAAGGAAAAAACACGAAACAGGGAACTAACCTCATTTCAGCACGTAAAATCGTCCAATCTATTGTTAACACCATTTAGCATGTTAGAAATCAAGGTATGTCATTTGATAAATTCATATCAAGTCAATGCATTACATAAATTTAGGCCCTTGTTTACAGATAGATCTCCTTCACAGTTTCGGGGTCAAATAGGAAAGCAGTTGAATTTTGCATTATCAAATCCGTTTTGTTTTTTTGCCGGAAATCAGTATTCCAATAACCTTTTTGATTCAGGAGAATGTCCTCAACTAAAGATTATTGCAAATTAATCACTCTGGGTCCTTGAAAATGATGAACAGATTTTTCTATTGACAATGGTGTTTTTCAATACATTTTCATTTTATTTTCAATTAAGAACAAGTTAACAGTTACCATGCAATAATATATAAAAATACAAATAAAAACACTGCTCAAGAATTAGACAAAATCTAGTAGATATTACAACAGTGAAAAAATTATATAGCAGAAAAGTTACAGTCTAACGAAAACCCCCAAAAATCAGGCAGCAGTACATGGACCCCAGAATGGCCAAGGGGCAAGGGGGCAGGCTTCAGTAAAAAGGCATCTGAAAAATTCCCAGCTTCTATTGATTCTGTTGTAACTGTATTTTCATTTTGGTTTCGTATAGGTATCTTGTAAATGAGTTAACTGCTCTTATTAACAAGGCTTTTATATGAATTTCTTTAGTGATTAGAAAGGGCTGATGTCAAGGGCACTTTTTTGAAAAGGGCATATTTGCTCCCTTTGTCCCTCTTAGGAATTTGCAGGTAGGGTTGTTACCCACCCGACCCCCCATTATGCTTTTCCTGCAGCAGTAACTGAATAGGGCTCTGCCGTGATTCTATAAAGTTCTTTTTCTAAGAAAGAAAGGTAGTGTAGAGATTGTTCTGTAAACCTTAGAATGCCAATACCTCTTTAAGTCTTTTTTGGGGTCTTTTCCATTTGAGTTCTTGATCCTCTAGAACTCTTAGGCATTTGACGTTGTTCACAAGTTTGATATCTCAATTTGGAAACAATCGTTGAAAGACAAGTTCAGGTATTGATAATTTCCGCAACTGTATTAGACAAATGGACCTCGAGGCCTTACTAAAAGACAACTCATGCAATGGACATTGTAGGATCTTTAACCTTTCTTGAAATTCTCAACATTTCCCTTTTTGTAGATTACGTTTTTTACTAAATTGTATGTAAAAAGTGTCCCCAATTAGCAGAAATGCTAAATCAATTTGACACTAAAATAAAGTTATAATTATAATTATTATTATGAAGATATGTGGCTACAACATCTGTTGTACTTTTTGCAAGTTTGCAATGTACTCAGGGACGGATTTTGCAGGAAATGTGTAGGGGGTGTGACACCCCCCCCAATATCTCTGTGTCCTTTTTGGTAGCCAGTAGTAACAAAGTAACGCAAAGATTTTACTTTTTATCTTCTTATCAGTAGCTTAGCAATGGAGGGGGGGGGCCGAGGCTCGGAAAGTTGGTGTATGGGTAAAGTGCAAATATGCAATAAAATTAGTACCTCAGTGAGGGGGAGTTTATATTTCAGACAAAACTAAAACGTCTTTGACGACTTCAAGCAAACGATTGTAAGAAATATTCTGAAATGTATTTCAAGCTAATATAATGGGTGTATCGCAAAATGTTTTGTTCAAATTGCTTGCAGGAGACCCTCCTTTGCACCTCTACAGAATATTTGACAATTTCCCCTAGTTATAGGTTTTGGAACTTTCAGCTGAAAATCGGAGATTGTTTAAATATTATCATGAAAGTACAGGGCCGCTGGAGCCAGGGGGCCACGGGGGCCACGGGGGCACAGGCCCCCCCTGTTTGCGAAAAGTATAGACAAGTGCCCCTTTTCGAAAAATAAATTGCGTGTATTTTTTCACTGCCAGATATTCTGCCTTTAGAAACTAAGTAAAATAACATAACTCTGGACATTGTTGGAGGACCATTCACTGAAAATTACTTAAATTTTTACTTGGTCTTGATGCAAGAAGCGTAAGCTCCTGTGATGAACAATATCAACTGCGAAGGAGACTGCCAGTTTCGCGAAAAAATTTCCTTAGTATGTCTTCAGCAACAAAATCATTAGTGAAAGGTCCGATCAAGTCCCCGGTGGGCACAGTCAGTCGGTCAAATGTATATCGTGTGTGTTCTTGAAAGTAAAAACTGGACCCCTATCTCTGATTCTGGGTTGAGTAAAATGTACCCTATTCTGTGCCTTTGCCAAAATTGTGTAACTCCTCTCACTGAGAATATTCAATCTTGAGCAGGAATTTTTGTTAAAATCAAATTTAGTGAACTCTGCTTTTCACTGAGCATGTTAGAGCCATTCTTTTTCTTAAACTTATGACTAAGCAAGTTAAAAAGCAGAGTTCACTAAATTTGATTTTAACAACAATCCCTTATGGTTCTTGACATATTTATTAAAAAAATCAGACATCTGTAAAACTATAACTGCGACATATTGCTTGCTTCACAACATTGTGCTCAATTTTTTTTATGAAGAAATGAAGAAGTTGTGTCCCTGAAATGAGTACCTGCTAACAAAGACTTAAACAAAGACTTGAATTTCTTATCTAGTGTAATAGGGTTATTTTTGTCAAAACGAATACATCCACCCTATCGTTACCGTCGATATAAACTAGTTCTTCAACGAGAATTGAGACAAAGAGACAAATAAATAATGTTTCAAACGTCCATTTTCCGATCATGTGATCTTTCCGCAAAAGGTTATAAACTTCACAATGTTTCTCTACGGTCGTCCCGTGGTTTCGTCGATTCGTTCTCTTAATAACAGGTACAGTCTTTCACAAGCACTGTCCATTCAAACTATACTATAGTAATGCACAATCAATAAATCATCACGCGCGATTCCATAAATCCAAATACGTATTCTATAAATCCATACTTCATGTCGACAAGATCTTTTACAAGCATCTTGCCACATAAGTGAAACGTCGAGAACCTAAATATACAAAATATCAAAACTTAACCTAATCGCTTTTAACCGAATTCCATTTCCAACTTCAGCTCCAACGAACTCGAAAACTAACTCTATATGTAACACGCCAAAAATATAACTAAACAAGAACTTATTGTAATGCTACATAGCTACGTAAATTTACATAATAATAGTGAATACAAAATATATTAATCCCAAGATTAATTACATAAACTGAATAATGATACTAAAAATCCCAAAAGAAATAGTTAATGAATCTAAAGGTGCAATTAGAAAACAAAAGGAATTATAAACAATCGAATGTGCGAACGGTGATAAAATTACTAAGGTTACAGGATGCAAAACAAACGAAATCCAGACTAGCACTATTACACAAGGATTAGAACAATATACAAGGCTAGACGTACTGCAAAATTTGTTGTACTTCAATATGCCATTGATTTACCTAAAAAATTATCTGCAACATCATATCAGTAAATTCCTGCCCTTTTTGTGCTTCCTCTGACTGTTTAGAATGTAACTCTATTTTCAAGATTCTATGTCCCAGAATTCTAGCTTTTTAAAAAATTTTCTGAACTCATATGTTATACGTTTGACCAACTGACTGAGCCGCCCGGGATCAATTTTAAGGAAATTTAAAAATTTGTTTTGTTCATAAGACTGATGAGATAAATCTAATCAATGTTACAAATTGAATTTTCTATGGCAGTGAAGAATGTGCCCGCACCTTCAGCCGATTGTGTGAAGATGACTTAACCATAAAATTTGTAGCTTTTAAAAAATATTCCATGGAGACAAACAAATGTGTGTTTACATGATTGCAAAAACCAACCACACCAAATTCATGAACAACCTAATTCCAGCGAAAGACGATAACAGTGAGTAATTTACGCCTTTATCCATAAGGCCTATTTTCCTGCTTCCTTCGCTTTCCTTCCTGCTTCCTTCCCGGTAAAACCCGCGTGGCTGGAAAAGGACGGGGGTGATGTCAAAGATTTTCGCAAAATACAAAATGGCTAGGGGTTTTTGTATTTTGCGAAAACTCGCCCAACATTGTCGAAATATTGGCTTCTATTTTAGTAAATTTATGGAAAGGCTTTGGAATGTATTTAAAATCTTGTTAATTGAGTAGGCATCAAAAGACTCGATAAAATTAAAGAATTTTCGCAAAATACAAAATGGCTAGGGGTTTTTGTATTTTGCGAAAACTCGCCCAACATTGTCGAAATATTGGCTTCTATTTTAGTAAATTTATGGAAAGGCTTTGGAATGTATTTAAAATCTTGTTAATTGAGTAGGCATCAAAAGACTCGTAGGCATCAAAAGACTCGATAAAATTAAAGAATTTTCGCAAAATACAAAATGGCTAGGGGTTTTTGTATTTTGCGAAAACTCGCCCAACATTGTCGAAATGTTGGCTTCTATTTTAGTAAATTTATGGAAAGGCTTTGGACTGTATTTAAAATCTTGTTAATTGAGTAGGCATCAAAAGACTCGATAAAATTAAAGAATTTTCGCAAAATACAAAATGGCTAGGGGTTTTTGTATTTTCCGAAAACTCGCCCAACATTGTCGAAATGTTGGCTTCTATTTTAGTAAATTTATGGAAAGGCTTTGGACTGTATTTAAAATCTTGTCAATTGAGTAGGCATCAAAAGACTCGATAAAATTAAAGAATTTTCGCAAAATACAAAATGGCTAGGGGTTTTTGTATTTTGCTAAAACTCGCCCAGCATTGTCGAAATATTGGCTTCTATTTTAGTAAATTTATGGAAAGGCTTTGGAATGTATTTAAAATCTTGTCAATTGAGTAGGCATCAAAAGACTCGATAAAATTTAAGAATTTTCGCAAAATTCAAAATGGCTAGGGGTTTTTGTATTTTGCGAAAACTCGCCCAACATTGTCGAAATGTTGGCTTCTATTTTAGTAAATTTATGGAAAGGCTTTGGACTGTATTTAAAATCTTGTTAATTGAGTAGGCATCAAAAGACTCGATAAAATTTAAGAATTTTCGCAAAATACAAAATGGCTAGAGGTTTTTGTATTTTGCGAAAACTCGCCCAACATTGTGCTATGCTATGAGACATAGTGATAAAAGAAAGCTTGAAAATTTGCCTCGGATTTTTCTTCGGTCAAATCTACTTTAGATGCAGTTTCTTTCTGGCCATCCCTAGAATATCAGATTTCTGAAATTTCCGTCTGCGCATGCTCTTTGAATGTCAGAACTAATTGTGGTGCAAGCTACCCCCTGTCATGAATGCTCTATATTTAACTGGTGTCCTTTTCTTGAATGTGAAATGAGTACCCACGTTTTGGGGCCATTGCATATGCGTGTTATATATTCAGAGTCAAAGAGGCATAGAAGTTTGATCATAGCAGAAATATATTTCATACTGAAAACCTGCCTGAATTCTCTGTTGTTTTATGTTTTTCGTTTGTATTAAGGCTCACTTTACTTCCAAAGGTAAGCCAAAACATCGAGAATTTTATGACGCGGCCTAAGTGTTCGCATAGATTAGACATTTTATGTAAACAATACAACCTGATTTGAACTGACCTCCGACACTAGAGCCATACCAAGGCCATTTTAATCGACTAAAACAACAGAAAACGTACCTTCAATTCAATTATTCAAGGCGGAAAGGAAAGCTTCGAATTTTGATCTTCCCGTTTAACTATATCTACAAATACGTCCTTTCAATATTTCTGAAAACACCTCAGAAAATGATCAACCTTATTTAAGTTGCTAAAATTACTGTTCTCAATATGTTTGCGAGATCTTGCTGTGTTCCCTGGCTTTAGGTGTTGAGCAGAGTTGAGGATGGCCGGGGATTTTGTAGGGATAATTCATTAGAATACGCATGCGTTCCTGCCCCTCGACGTTGATTGGCTCAAATAAATCCTGTCTCAGACAATAAGTGTGATACCTCAGCTCCCAAACATTTCGTGATCGACATTAACGTGACAAACAAGGATGGCTTTCCTCTCAGCGTGGTGTGGTGCTTTCATCTGGCTATTTGCAGCAGTTTCATTTGCTGAATCAACGAAGGTTTCCCAAGACATTGTGAAGATGCTTCAAGAGGAGGTTCCTCTGCAACTTCACTTCTGTAAAAGCCTTGGTTACAAAAACACATCAAAGGTGAACTTTATGAAACAAACCCAGCAATCTGTTGTAAAACAGGATTCTCGGTACAAAGCACTGCAAATTTTAAGTTCGAGTGGATGTTCTGACCTGGTAAAGCCGTACACATGTGCTATTTATGCACCCCCAGTTGTAAAACCATATGGTGCCTTGCCTCCTTGCCGATCTCTATGTACAAGAACGGAAAAACAATGTGAACAGATGATGAAAGTTTTTAAGAAAGGTATGAAATTATACTTTGTTCCTTGTCATATCGTGTCGGCAACGAACTCTAATCTACCAAATACACCTTTCATATTATCACTTACATTTATATACACTCATCATTTACACCTATTCAAAAAAAATTATCTTTTGAAGCTAGAAGTAGCCAATTACTATACTGCTGAGATTATGCTTCTTTTAAAAATTATGCTTCACCACTTCCAAGTTCGAAAATGTTCTGTTCGCTTCACCCACGGGAGTCTCATCTTCTACCGGTTATGGCTCAGGTCAGAGGACAAGGAATTTTCTCGAGAGAGACATCTTATCTCAAGAAGGAATTTGAACTCCGAAAAAGAAGTCTCTGCCCCGAGGCTTTTTGTGCCTCGGGGCAGAGACTTTGAATACAATTTCATTGCAGGAAAAAAACAGCTCAACATCCAAAGCTAGGGATATAAGCATTTGTCTCCCGTTCGGGAGAAATAAACGATATTTCTCCTGATCGGGAGACATTTCTCCTGATTGGCAGAAGTTTCAATAAGATGTCTCCCGATTGGGACAAAAAATCACTTCTTAGCACAAATATGAACGAAGAAACTTCTGGCGGGAATTTTAAACATTACTTTTTGAATCTACACCGTCAAATACATAAATCCATCCTTAAAAACATGGTAGGTCACCGTTAAAAATCGTTCAGAATTAGCATTTGCAGTTTTAGTGGCATCATTCTCTATTGTTATAGGTATTGTTCTAGGAAAGAAAAGGTTCAGGTGATGTCTATATTCTGATAATCTAATGTTTTACTATACTTTGCACATATTTTTAGGGGTCATACAAACCATGACAGCTCCAAAAATATATGAATTTTTGACACCCTCTCCCCCGGTTACCACCGTTTCACCAGCTTTCTGATTCTTTTAGGACTTGTGGATAAGGATAGGGATCGAGATAGAGCTTTGGCAAAACCATTTTCATTTTACAAACAACTACATTCACATGGCATATTTTTTACTAAAACTAATGCGTAACTTATTATCTAGCATAATTTCATCATAAACTATACATTTGCTGTATGCATTATCGCTATTGTAAACACATTTAACATGAATTCAGGCCGTATTGTTATTAAGTTTTATTCTACATATGAATATTCTAAAGTTGCGTTGAAACTGAAGGTTCTTTGAGCTTACATTATTTGGGCTTGATCTATTCCAGGGACGGATCTAGAAAGTATTCTGACTGTCGCACATAAGGGTGTGGTTGGAGATATCATTCGTGACCACACCCATAGTTTTTAAGGATATTCGCTCCCTTCTCATTTGAGCAGTCGACATGCACATTAAATTGGCTTTTATTTAAAACGTTGTCAAACTGCTGTTTATTCCTTATCAGAGTTTTCAATTGATACTAAAGAATCATTTGTGTTGTTTCTTAGCCAAGCGTAAAGCAAGAAACAACTTAAAGTTCTTAAGCGTATTGAAATGGTTTTCCTTTCATAATCAGGCAAAAATTCGAGTCGTCTCTCTCGATTTGTTTATGGTATACGACGACAAACCAGGCCACGCGAAAAATGAAAACATCATTGCAATGAATTTTCAGAACTAATCAAATAGAACAAATTTACAAAAATATTCATAAAAACCTGCATTAATAATAATTAATATTATTTAATAGCTAAACCAAATCAGCGTGTAAACTTGTATTTTACTCCGAAGAAACCCTTTTGAAATCAGGGGAATACCCAAGCAAGTAAACATTACCCGGAAATATCTGAAAGCTGATAAGGAACTGAAAATCTACACTGAAAAGATTCACTTTGAAAGTTTTGTCCAAATAAAAGTTTCACTCTGCAAACGTCCTGAACATTATTTATTTGCCAGAGCCAAATCGCATGTATCACCCAAGTCCAGTGCATTTATTGACATTAGCAGGCCCACGAAACTTGAAAACATCTCGTGTCGAATGTTACTCTGAAAATCTAGCGACCATTGTCTTCCAAATTACCAGGTTTAACGTACTCGTTATACATGTAGCCAGTCGACTCCATAACACAAAATCTCCTTTCGCCAGTGAAAACTTCCCCATGCCAGGCATAAATAAACTCAAAACTGTACAAAGCACGCAATGAGGACGGATTAATCTTTGTGTGAAAAGAAGTAGTCTCTTTAAGCAATATCACCAAGAACCGCAACGCAAAGCAGTGCTGAGGTTTTGGCGGACTGTATGCCATCCAACAGAGTTGCTGTAGAAGTTAAGAAAGCCACTGACACCTCAAACAGTCGGCTGTAGACCGTTTTCGCCCCATATCTGGGCTCATCTGTACAGCTAGACTGAATGAGGACCAAGCCGACCTAGGATTAATCTTTTCCAAGTGGAGCGACCTTACCAAAAAACTTCCGTGTCTACAGAATCAGAATCAGACAGTGGCGAAGCCAAAGGTCCTGCTGGTCCTGCTGAGCAGGACCAAGAATTTCCAAAGTTTAAGTTTTGCAATTATGTCTTGATATAATAGCCGTTAATTTCATGTTGTGTATGTAAAGTTGATAGGGAATCAAAAATAAGGAATCACATGACATGATTAGATTAGATGACATGAAAGCTGTTATGTCTCCGATCATAATTAGATTGTGAACTAAATTAGTTTCTTTAATATTTAAGGTTATACAGTATCACCTGATGACAAAAGAACGATTAATGTACCCCTCTAGTTTTTTTTAAGTATTAATACAGGTAAAATTTATTTGAGGATACAGCCTCCAGCCCCCCTCTGCGTCCGCCTGCCCAGCCATGCATTATATGGTCGTGCCCTTGTTGGTTAGCATATCATATTAAATCTACCTTATCTTAATTGTGACCGGGAAAAGAGGGGGAGCAACAATTTATTATTTTCTCTGCGGTATTGAATTTGCGTAGTATCAATATGATCAATCTTTAATGCTGAACTTACTTTCTTTTTCAGTCAAGTTCTTCTGTAACTACTTTTCAAAACCAAGCAAAGATCAGGGATGCATTGATTTTCAGTACAACGAAGATGAGGGCATGCTAGAGCGAATCATCCGAGGAACCCCAACTGCTATAACGGAAGCATGGGAGGTTCCAACCTATTAGGAGAAACTGTAAACCTTAGCAAAAATGTTTTTACAATAGAAACTATTTCTCCTTCCTGAATTTATGCCAAACGTTGCATTATAAGAAAATTTGATATGATGTTTGTCTTTTTCTTACATTTGCCTTTTGGTAATTTAGTGACCAAGCTGTTGGCTTCAGTTTTATGTATATATCTGTGAACATGTACAATGTTTTAAAGAGCGATTGGCTTCGTTTTGAGTAATTAACAGGATATATGAAAAACATCTGTCTGTGATCATTCCAAAAGCACTTCGTCGACATTAGTGTCAAGTTACGATAGAATGTGGGCTCATTTACTGAATCGGTAATCAATATAGGTATGATGCATGTGATCAGGAAATTTACAGACTATGCGAATGTTTTGAAAAACGGTAATGAAGCCATATTTGTTTTAAGATACATAGACAGTGACCAGCAAATGAATGCATAGACACTCTCCTCCGTCGCGCGCGATTAAGTAGCATTTGTTTTTAAATAGAGGAGTGAAAAGGAACAACGATCAAATTTTTCTAAATCTGATGCATATATCTAATTAATTCAATTGAAACCAGCTTGCAATATACAGCCATAAAACTTAGGGTAATGAAGGAAACATGTCAGCAGATTTAAACCACCTAATCATACAATACAACTTGCAGCCACATCGGCAGCAACAACAACAGCAGTAAAAGCAGCAACAACAACAGCAAAATCAACAACAACAGCATTAACAACTAAAACTTAACAGCAACAGGTGCAGCAACAACAACAAAACATCTGTCAGTTGAGCGCATTGTTATCCAGTGCAAGTACATTTTTATCTGTTTTTCTTATCACCAAGTAAGCTGTCCAATTTTTGTATAAATGGCTGTTGCACTCCTTCAAAAAACTAAAATCAAAACAGAGGAAATTAATAGATCTGGTGAAAATTGTCATTGCTGAATAATCATCAATGCAGTATGTTGACGAAAATGAACGCAGAATTGTTGACGAATATCAATACAGCGTTGTGTACGAATTGAATAAGTCACTTCTCTCGCGAGCCATGTAGAAAAGTGCTTTGCTTCGAAACGCCCACTGTTTTGGATTTGCGTCAGGGACAAATTTCATCAAATTTCTTACAATTTTCCCCTCTAAAACATGTTTTTGAGCATAGAAAAATACACGCGATTCTTGCACATTAAATCCTTTATCATTGCACTGCATAACTTGTTTTTCTGTTTTCGTCAAGTTTCGAACCGGCTTTTTGGATTCTGATACAGCAGGTCCCCGACAATCAACAGTTTTTCAGTGCAGCGCTCGTAGGCTTGCGCAAAAGCATGCCTGACTGTCTGCAATATCGCATATGTCTCATTTTCGATATGCAAAATGTAAACAAAGAAGGCTAAAAAGCACTTTTGTGGCTTCTTTTTTATATGAAACTTCCATATTTGTGCGAAGAAGTTACCGGCATTTGCGGTCTGAATTTTGAGAAATTTCTCAACGGGTTTGAAAAATAACCATAAGTCGCCCTCGTAGAGGTGCGATTATTTAGTAGCTCGTTCGTTTTTAGCAACATTTTCTTGCGTTTTCTCAGTAAGCAACTATCTGTATTGCCTGTATAGCAAGTTATGCACACGTTATTGTGCCAATATCGTCCAAGAATAATAATTTTATTTGTCGTCTTTTTTAATGACTTTCACTGAGGAGCCTCAAAGTAGCAATTGTCCAATCCCTTATAAGTACAACAAAAGGAATTATTTTGATCAAGCGCTATCATGAATTAACTCGATTCTCCAATTAGCTGAAAATTTAAACACTTTGATGTTTTCATAACTCCATGTGTTCGCATATATTGATGTTTGTATTACGTTGATTTTTGGTTACATGAATATCAAATTGCTGTACTTTGTGCTTGCATTGAAAACTGACGTTACAACTGACGTATGCTTTCTGGGGGCATGATGCAGGAAAATCGGGGCATTTTACGGACTGGAATGGAAAAAGTTGTTTGTGGGGGAGGGGCTAACAAGCAAAAATCCAAAAGCAAGATTATATTCTACTGTTATTAGTACAGTTTTTGAAAATTATTAGGGAGGCTAAAGCCATCAGCCCCCTCGCACTTCAACGTATGTTATCTAGCTAGCTCGAAGTCCGACATCATCCCAATTCACCTCCACATTGGCTGGAACATTCGTTGATATCTAAAAGCAAAAAAATAAAGAATAAAGATCAAAACAATGGGGTAAAGAGTTAACTTTGGGCGAAATCCGTAAGTCGGCTTTGAAACATTGGCGTTTATCAGTATCAAGGAAAAACCTCACTCTCTGCTATCTTAAGAAAATTCGACGGGAGCCATGTTACTTACCAAGCTCACAGTTCACACCAGTGTAACCAGGAGGACAAACGCACGCGTAACCAGTAACATTGTCCAAACATGTGCCATTATTTTGGCATGGTTCGCTGGAACATTCGTTGATATCTAAAAGCAAAGAAATAAAGAATAAAGATCAAAATAATGCGGTAAAAAGTTAACTTTGGGCGACATCCGTAAGTCGGCTTTGAAACATTGGCGTTTATCAGTATCAAGGAAAAACCTCACTCTCTGCTATCTTAAGAAAATTCGACGGGCGCCATGTTACTTACCAAGCTCACAGTTCACACCAGTGTAACCCGGAGGACAAACGCACGCGTAACCAGTAACATTGTCCAAACATGTGCCATTATTTTGGCATGGTTCGCTGGAACATTCGTTGATATCTAAAAGCAAAGAAATATAGAATAAGGATCAAAAGAATGGGGCAAAAAGTTAACTTTGGGCGAAATCCGTAAGTCGGCGTGGAAACATTGGCGTTTATCAGTATCAAGGAAAAACCCCACTCTCTGCTATCTTAAGAAAATTCGACGGGAGCCATGTTACTTACCAAGCTCACAGTTCACACCAGTGTAACCAGGAGGACAAACGCACGCGTAACCATTAACATTGTCGAAGCATGTGCCATTATTTTGGCATGGTTCGCTGGAACATTCGTTGATATCTAAAAGCAAAGAAATATAGAATAAGGATCAAAAGAATGGGGCAAAAAGTTAACTTTGGGCGAAATCCGTAAGTCGGCGTGGAAACATTGGCGTTTATCAGTATCAAGGAAAAACCCCACTCTCTGCTATCTTAAGAAAATTCGACGGGAGCCATGTTACTTACCAAGCTCACAGTTCACACCAGTGTAACCAGGAGGACAAACGCACGCGTAACCATTAACATTGTCGAAGCATGTGCCATTATTTTGGCATGGTTCGTTGGAACATTCGTTGATATGTAGAAGCAAGAAAATAAAGAATAAAGATCAAAAGAATGGGGTAAAAAAATTGAGTTTGGGCGAAATCAGTAACTCCAATTTGAAACATTGGCATTCATCTGTATCAAGGAAAAACCTCACTCTCTGCTATCTTAAGAAAATTCGACGGGCGCCATGTTACTTACCAAGCTCACAGTTCACACCAGTATAACCAGGAGCACAAACGCACGCGTAACCATTAACATTGTCCAAACATGTGCCATTATTTTGGCATGGTTCGCTGGAACATTCGTTGATATCTAAAAGCAAAGAAATGAAGAATAAAGATCAAAATAATGGGGTAAAAAGTTAACTTTGGGCGAAATCCGTAAGTCGGCTTGGAAACATCGGCGTTTATCAGTATCAAGGAAAAACCTCACTCTCTGCTATCTTAAGGTTACGGTAAACGTTTTGAACACGAAAATTGGTTTTTTCTTCCTAAAGGCCAAACGGCTCAAGGAATCTAGATAAACTATATATCATTCGATGCACAAGATTATGACGTATCTAGCCAGATAAAAAGTATTGGCAAATAATGTTAAATGTTATTTTCCATGCGAATTTACTGGTCAAAAAGTGTACCACCTACAAAAGCTATTATGTACCCTTGCGTTTGAGGTAACAAAATCTGACTTAGACCAGCAGGAAGTGCAGGTCCTAAGCTACCAAAGTGTGTCTCAGATTTTTTAAATTCCTCCTCTTCTTGAAACTATACCCTGTCAAAAATTGGCAAATAATTGTTCCACCCTCCCGCAGCTGTATTTGGGTATAAAAGACGGACCAGAGAAAATAAAAAAAATTTGAGACACACTTTGTTTGCCCAACGTCTGCCCTAGCCGTGTGCAAATTTTCGAGCCATTCGATTGGTTCCTTGGGTACATAATAGCTTTTTCGTACCTGCATGTAGAGGAATTTCGAGTCCGGAGAAAACGGGATTTACTGATCGCACTTGCAAGATACACTCGTAAACCACAGTGTAATCCGGGTCAAGTCACTTGAAGATTTAAGATCAATAAGCCTGTTTAAATAAACACGGCCGTACATTAGGTATATGGATGTGCCATGCGATATTGTAAATGAGACATGCGACTACAACCGCAAAGCAACGATAATCGGCTTAAAAGGTCAAGAGATTTTCAGGCCTCAACTAAAAGTTTTGATAAAGAAATTATGGAAACCTTCGTTTACATGGGATTTTTTCCACTTTCAAAATTTCTGTTTGTTTCAAATTTGGTGTCATTGTGTGCCTTGAAAGTTCGGCTACTTGAATGTGAAAAAATCGAAAAAATGATGTTTTCATCCAGCAAACGTTTACCGTAACCTTAAGAAAATTCGACGGGAGCCATGTTACTTACCAAGCTCACAGTTCACACCAGTATAACCAGGAGGACAAACGCACGCGTAAACAGTAACATTGTCCAAACATGTGCCATTATTTTGGCATGGTTCGCTGGAACATTCGTTGATATCTAAAAGCAAAGAAATAAAGAATAAAGATCAAAAGAATGGGGTAAAAAGTTAACTTTGGACGATATCCGTAAGTCCGCTTTGAAACATTGGCGTTTATCAGTATCAAGGAAAAACCCCACTCTCTGCTATCTTAAGAAAATTTGACGGGCGCCATGTTACTTACCAAGCTCACAGTTCACACCATTATAACCAGGAGCACAAACGCACGCGTAACCATTAACATTGTCCAAACATGTGCCATTATTTTGGCATGGTTTGCTGGAACATTCGTTGATATCTAAAAGCAAAGAAACAAAATGTAAAGGTCCAAAGTATGTCTGCACTCTTATAAAGCCAAGTAGGCACGTAGTAGGCTATTACGGAGAGATGTTGACTTTCCTCACTAAGAGAGAAAGTTTGGTCATGTCAGGGGCTTGAAACACAGACACTTGGATGTGTAGTCAGCGACCTCTCATGGAACCATACCAGCATTTAGTTCAAATTCGAATATGTTTTGAAAGATGACATAAAAAGTGAATTCACAATAAGCAGATAAATTTTATTAAAATACACTTTGCTCGTCGCTTTTCCAAATTAAATGCTTTCTCTACGCAGATCAAGAATTCTTAATACCAAAAAGACCATGCTTGCCCAATATTCTGAATATCATCGTTACTGAATATTTACCCGGACTCGATCCCAGTTGTTTCAAGTATTGTAATTTTTACAAATACAGCGTGGAAGTTTTCTCTTTAACATTTGTTTGGTGCTCGATGGCACTTGCTATTCAGGTCTACCGTCTCTATATACAGGACTTTAGATCGGTAATGAAATCTATTGACAGCTTAACTTCCCCGATTTGTAGGAACTCAATTTTTACAAACAGCTTTGTTAGGGCATTTCTTTTTGATTTCAAAATTTTTGACGAATTTTCCCGAACTAAAAATTTTTAGACATGAACACGGAACCTTTTTCTGGAATCTGTTTTCGGTGATTAGCTTCATTTTTTAACTTTAGAAACTAGCTTTGATTCATTAGTGCTCCATGAGCTTTAGACTCGATGAGACAGTAGATTCCCGCAAATAAGAAATCATTTTTTAAATTGAAGCCTCAGAAGGTTTCTTATTTAAAGAGACCTTTTCATAATCAGGGTTAAAGTTTCTTATACATAGGTACCATCAATTTAAACCAAGTCAAGTTAAGCTATGTGAATGTAACGTGCAGGCATGTGTATTGAACATTACTGGCAGTAGTATACAATAAATACTGCACAGTACAATGTTCTCATATCATTAAAATGCTTTATGCATTTAAGATCAATAATCCATTTAAAAGTACAGGAAATAGTTTTTGGGTTCCAGAAAATTTTTAACTTGTTGTAATCAGATTCAACCAAACAGAAATGTTCTGAAAATGTTAGAATGTTTTTAAAATTATTCTAATACAACCAAACAAAAAAATTAACTTATCAAACAAAGGTCATGCCATTATGTTCTTGCCAATCATGTCAGTATTTTCAGTGCTCTTTATGCATTTTCTTCAAATTTTTCATCCTAAAACTCCTTTTTGAGAATAAAGAATATTGTTTCATTTTACCATTACTCTGGGTTAACCTAGTATAGCAAAATGGGTGTCACCAAAAATGTATTTCTATGTGTAGTGTAATGATTGAAACGTGCTGTATTGCATTCTGCAAGTACTTAGCATTTTTCAATTACATATCCTTACTTTTATGTTTGCAACTTGAAGAATATCTTTCAAGGGTTTCCTTAGTTTCTTCAAATACAAGCGGGTTCCCATAAACCATTCGGAAATAAACTATGACAAACCTGAAAATAAGAAACATTTTGCTTTCAGACCTAAAACTGTTTCTTATAAAAGAAGCCCCTTTTGAAGAGAATGAGGCCTGTTTCTTATATAAGGGGGTTTCTTATTCACGGGAACCTACTGTATGATAATGTTCCTACGAGGAATGTATACATTATCATCAGGTGTTTTGACATACCTACAAACGATGTGATTTTTCTAAAAACTACCAAGCCTTTTTTCGATGTAGGCAGATCCTCCATAAACCCATATCTTCGGTACACGGCCTTTTCGACATCGTACACTACGAACCCACATATCTCATCGATGCTGCATTTGTGGAAGGCTTTGTGGAACATGCTAACCACAGAGCCACTTTTTTGCCTTGCATCGTCATCAAATTGTACATATTCGAAGGTGGAGCATATTGATTCTGCAACCGCTGCATTCCGGCCTACGATAAGTAATATGCACAGAGTGCTGAACCAAGTGCAGTTCATAGTAGCTTTCAAGCTTATCGGCGTTACTGGCTTGGATCTATAGGCAAAGAGATCCTCTGCATCGTATACTTCTCAAAAGGGTTTTACTTAAAATAAATATATCAACTTGCTATTGTGCCCTAAAAACGAGTTGATATCCTGTAAATTTTTAATCGATAAAAACGGTGAAGTTAAGAAATCGGCAAGCTGCAATCAACGGCGACTCTATATGAAATCTGATATGATATGATATCTATAAGAAATAAATTTATTGCAACAGGAATCGTGTTTACTTTCTGTATTCACCAGATTGTGGAAAGAACTATATTGATATAAAATATCAGAAGTAGCGCAATGAAGACTGCACGAAAACATGAAGCACGTGTGGTTTTTCAATGTACTTAAAATGATGCAGATGACCTCATTACCGATCCTTATTTCAAAGGCATACCGGAAAACAAGGACCCAGGACCTTAAGGCAGGACCCAGGACCGAGGACCAGGACCGAGGACCAGGACCGAGGACCAGGACCCAGGACCAAGGACCAGGACCGAGGACCAGGACCGAGGACCAGGACCGAGGACCAGGACCGAGGACCAGGACCGAGGACCAGGACCGAGGACCAGGACCGAGGACCAGGACCGAGGACCAGGACCGAGGACCAGGACCGAGGACCAGGACCGAGGACCAGGACCAAGTCTTATTTCTGACTTTGTGTGAAAAACGAAAACTCGGGTAGCTCGGGAATATGTAAATGTACGATTAAACGAAAGCAACGCCTTGAAATGTGAAATACTCTTATTGGCCATGCAAACCTGACGTGGTTGATTTAGCATAGATGGCTATTGCTATTCTTTAGTAGGATCGGGGTATATTTTATGCACACTGCAAACCTTTAGTAAGCACACATCATTAAAAAGCCACCAAAGCATAAGTAGTCTTAATATGTTTAAATAGCAAGACATTAGAACGGTCGATCGCGACACAGAATTCAACCACGATCTCCCCATTCTGTGATCCTGGCGAGTGATTTTGCTTGTCTACAATTGGCACTGCGCATATCGACAAATCATATCTGTCGCGTGACAGATCATGCGTGTACCTCTAATGGCACTCATTTGCTGTCTAGGTGATCAGGAACTTTGCCAAGTCATTGCTGCTATAAGTGCTCAAAAGTGAAATTAGGTGGATTGTCGCCACTTTTCTCTTTCAGAGCAGAAACGCTTTCCGGAATACAAAATTTTTAAAACTTTTTTAAATCAAGATCATGACTTCTGATGCATGTTACAGCCGGCAATTACAAGCATACAAAAAAGAAGCCATTCCTACTTCTAGAGCACAGAAAGCAAAGAAACGTTTTGCTGACAAACCATTTCTGTCTTTGACACCTTTAATGTCTAAACACTTTTTAAATATATAAAGACTATTTACGCTTTGATGGCTTGTTAATGATGTGGGCTTACTAAAGATATAAGGTTTGCTGTGTGAATCAAAGATACCCCCATCCTACTATAGAATAGTAATTGCTGTGCTAGCTAACTATGCTAAAACAGCCACGTCAGGTTCGCACGGCTAATAAGAGTATTTTGAATGTGAGTAAACGTTGCAAGCAGTAGTGTAGAGCTAAAAAAAGGGAGACGGGGGCCATAAAGCTTTCTCAATATTGTATACAAAATGAACGTTTCAGTTGTTTTCGTTTGCATGGCTCCTCGATATCAATTTTTTTACCTTTCCACTTTTTCTAGGGTTAGAAAATTTTCAAATGTTTTCAAAATTTTCAGGAAAATTTTTTGCATGATGCAGGTTGTTTGGTCATTTTAGTTCCTAGGCAAGCCTTAGGTTCTGAGTCCTGGGTTATGAGTCCTTGGTCTCCTCTTCCGTCACTTGAAAAATGGCACTCCTTTCTTGGCAAACATTGGCTGTCTGGGTCATCAGAAACCTTGCCAAGTCATTATGTACTGCAAATGTTCAATAGAAGATTCAGATTAGACGAACTGTCTCGGGACACCGCTTTGTGGGTGTCACGATAAGATTCCAAAGAAATTTCCTTTCTGCTCTTTTTCAGATGCATTAGTTTCTTTTTATTTAAAAGGAGCCCGCTTTTAGAAAGATCTAGTGGTATTTTTCAGAGTAGAAACATTTTATGGAATAGTAAACCTTTTTCAAATCCAGATCAGGACTTTTGACACAATGGTTCAATCTGAAATGATAAACATACTGGCACCGCGGAAGGGGGCTGTTCTTAAAACCATACAAAATCGCCTTGTTCTTGATTATGAGCATGCTTAGCGCCCCACCCCAAAAAAACGTTTTAGCCCCCTCACTCTTTAATATGCTCCGCGGTTCATGAAAAACATACCAAAGGGAGTGGAGCCATTCCTGCTTCTAGAGCATAGAAACGTTCTAATGTCTTGCTATTTAAACATATTAAGACTACTTATGCTTTGGTGGCTTTTTAATGATGTGGGCTTACTAAAGGTTTGCAGTGTGCATAAAATATACCCCGATCCTACTAAAGAATAGCAATAGCCATCTATGCTAAAACAACCACGTCAGGTTTGCATGGCCAATAAGAGTATTTCACATTTCAAGGCGTTGCTTTCGTTTAATCGTACATTTACATATTCCCGAGCTACCCGAGTTTTCGTTTTTCACACAAAGTCAGAAATAAAATCAGATTCTTTTCCCCCCTAAAATGATGTGCAGTCTTTTGTTCGATGTGCAGTTTTGGATTTTGGATTTTATGGAAAATTGTTCATGGTATGCAATGTTATAACTTGGTATTCTTATAAAGGAAACTGCGAGTGCATCGTCGAAAACATAAACGGTCCTGGTCCAGGGTCCTGGTCCTCGGTCCTGGTCCTCGGTCCTGGGTCCTGGTCCTCGGTCCTGGTCCTCGGTCCTGGTCCTCGGTCCTGCCTTAAGGTCCTGGGTCCTTGTTTTCCGGTATGCCTATTTCAAAGGTCTTAAATTACTTTGTTGTCAGATCGATCGATCTAATTCCTCGATTACCTCAATGCGCAAATACCTTGGCTTTACCGTGTGGGCAATGCCGCCAGTCTTTTCAAATACTGGCAAATTCTCAGACCACAAAATCGGCAGTGTGATCTCTTACTAGAAACATTGATCCAATGCACGAAACCACAATCAATTAACACCCCTACACATCAGACACCCCTACAAATCGGACACCTTCTAAATCGACTGATTTTACCAGTACTTGTAGAAGCAAAGACGACAGACAGAATCCCTATAACGGGCAAGAGCACTTCGTCCAAACGCATCCACAATTTCAACAGTTTCAACGCAGAAGATAAATTACTATTCTAAGGTTTGACTGTAGTGCACTTGCGAAAACCTATCACACATTTCAATTTTGGCTTAGCGTCAAAGTGTCGATACAAGAAAGGCGAAGGCAATGTATCATTACAACTATTTCAGTAAATCTTTACACGTGACTGATTGAACGATAATATTAGACATACAAGAAAAAGATGAAAATCATTACCAACTTTACAGAACGAAGCCTGCGGAGGACTGCGAAGGACTGTGGAGGTTTGGGTCGGATACCGCCAATATCAAAATCTTTATTACCGAGCTGAATATAATACTATTATGAAACTTAAAAGGATAATACCTGCTCCACATCACTGGGACAAATGCTTTAAAACACGAACGAGATGGCTTCGAAACACGTATTTCTAAAGGTTCCAAATTACTAGGCCTCTTAGCGTATAAAACAAAATGAAATCTAGAGGTACTGAGGCAACTTCTAAAAATTTTGACGTTTAAAAAGTATACAATAGTATTGTTTTGTGACGCAACCTGTTCACAAATCCTTGTCAAAAACATTACCGGAATTTGCCACGGACTACGAATCACAGCAAAATAGGTTACAATTTACAACACATTATTTCAATGACAAGGGTTTCGAAATTCTCCAGTGCACGGGTGCGTCATCAAAAGCATTATAAAGAACACTTCTAAAGTGATACATCAAGCAACAAAAGTGCATTATTTGCGTCCCTTTTTATTTGGCTGCTGATTTCGGGGTGGTGTTATCGGTCGTCCTGAGTTAAGTCCGCCATACTGGTACTTTGCTTTCTTCTCTGCTGGTTTCAATATCTGAAGAACAGAAACAAAATATTTTACAAAAACATGCTGACGACGTGACTCTACTAGGCGTCAAGGGTTGACCACTCAAAAGTCAATGGTTTTCAAGTCAACGAAGTAGGCTGGCTATAGCTACCTAGAAATTTGGTTCATCATTCAACGTCTCCTAGCTATGTTTGAAAGTAATTGTTGGGGAGACAAACTAAAGAGTCTTCATTGAGTGAGGCAACCCTCCGTCCTAGAGTCTAAACACGCGCATGGAACGAAGTCGCTATTACGCCTGCGTAGCTACAGGACGGAGGGTTGGCTAATACATTTGAGATTTTCTCTTCTTCGTTTTCCCAACAGTACGTAAACTGTTCTCGGGATGATACCATAGCTTTGTTTTCCGAAAGATTTTCATTGGCCGAGTTCAGCCTGCAAATGCTAAAGAAGGTCGGCATTCTGAGCCTCATGATTCTTATAGGCAATTTAAAAATAAAAAGCGCATTATTTTGATGAAAGAAATTATTGGGCAGTGACACTGAATATTCCTTTGACCATTGTATCCAGCCTCTAATCACAAAATAAACAACTCGCAGATGCCACCAAAAGCTTGACATTTTCTTTGAATTCTTCAAATAATTCAATGCTAAAAGATTAATAGAAAGCATTAAATGTGCATTAACTCTACGCTTTTTGTTCTCGTGGGTTTCAAACCCAGATGTTGCCTCCCGGCTTTGCCACAAGACTGCATAATACACTGCACAAACAAAGACAGAATGCCTTATATACATATTCTTAGGATACTGTATAAAATGAAGATGGTTACCTGAAAAGAGCACATCAGCGTTTCGTCGACACTCATCATTCCACCAGCATTATCAAACTCCCCGCAGTAATTTGGAGCTGAGAATAAGGTGACCAATTGTCTTTTGGCGAAAAACTCGTAACCATCTTCAACCACCTTGAAACAGAGAAAAAATCCACTCAAACTGTTCTTGCGTGTTTTTATTCTTCAAACTATTACCATGAAAAAATGGTGCGTCCAGATTATAATACACTAAAAAACTGAAAGGCTGGCTATCTGTTTACTGGGTTTGTAACTCAGGTTCCAAATATTCCCATTTATAAGAGCTTTGACAATAACGTGTAGTCTTCTGTGCAACTTGCCTTCTCACATTTTATTTGTCTGCTTCAAATAATCTCAATTTTCTGGCGGTACAAAATTTGAAAATGGCTTTGTAAAAGTAAACAGTTTACAACATACTAAAAGCATTTTCGCCTGACACTCCTCAAATCATGAAACGTCAGAATGAGGGTCCGAAAGAGCATGATGGAAAATATATACCCAGTTGTGGATCGGATTAGGCCAATCAGAAAAACGTAAACACACGACTAGCATAGTTGTCCAGTCAGTGCCGCGTGCCTAAAGAAAAATTGTCACTGGAGCCCGAAAGAGAAAACAAACAATGGCAGCTTTTTCGTTTGTATGTAGATTGATTCCAAAACGTGCGAAGATCGAAGATTTGAGAAGATCTCTTGCATACAGAAATCCTAACTTTTTTAAGATAAAAGACATTCTTTATATGCTTTTCACGCAGTTATCTTTAAATAACTTAAGAAAAAAATGAAAACAACAAATGTGCAGAGAAAGAGACATCTTTCTGACCAACTTACCATCTTAGAGGAAGCCAGTTTTCTTTTAAACAAAACATAATTTGTGACCACTATCATCTCCCGCCTGCTTCCTAGAATCTTTCTTTAAAACACAAAAACCATAAAAACCTGGAACAAACCTGGTGAGCCCTGCAAATAAGGTCTAGGTCGTGTTTGTTCAAAAACTTTCCAACAATATCTGTTCCAAAAGTGAAGGAGACACCACGGTCGTTTTCTCCCCAACCTTGAATATCTTTATCGGGATCTGACCAAAGCAGGTCGCACAACAGACCTAAAATCCAAGTGGCAACCAAATTAAACTACAAGTAACAAACCTCTTTTGGCGCAAAACCTAGGGCTTTCAACAGCAGAAGTTAAAGGCATTGAATCATGATAAATAGACTGGGTATACCCTAAGTGCCAAAATCCGCTGAGTCATGATTTCCATGACTGCGATGCTATTGGTTGACCTTGAACTGGTCACATGAACTCAACTCGTACTGATTAACAAAACAGTTTCCATCAATAGCAAGTTGTCAACAACGGATGCCAATATCACATGAAACAGCAGCGATCACGCCGAAGCCAAATAACCCCCTATTAATTTACCATGACTCAATGCCTTTAAGGTGCGCGACCAAAGAGATAGCCGCTGCACTCGCATACTTCCAACTAGTTTATTTTCTTTGGTATACGCGACCTACTAGAACTCTGAGTTATAGATTCTACTGTGCCCCTTTTCCATTTCTACACACCGTTTTGACGCATTTCCATGCTCGGTATCGCCAAGGGTATCGTTGAAAGACAAGCAAAGAAAAAGAGAAAACTTCTTAAAGAATTGCAGGTAAAAGGTAGGTAATCAAAATGCAGCACTGGTAGCCTTTTGTGGAAAGGAACAATACTCGAGAGTTACTGAAGAATCCAATCTGCTTTTTTTTGTTTTGTTTCTCAAATGTTTACATCTTCATATTGAACAAATGTGAAGGAAAGGACAAAACAAAGACGCTGATGACAGGTTTTCATATGAAATGTGAGCAGGTCCTCTTTGAATGCAGACAATCCAAAACACCTTCTTTCGCAATCTGGTGGTCAAAATAAGACGCATTATAAACATTTGCATTTTCTTATTTATTGCTCATCTTCTTTAACCGCTTCAATCTAATTTTTCTATAGTTTCTTCCTTTCACACAAGTGGGATGGCTTTGTTTTCTATCATGATAGCTGTCAGAGTATACAGAAACTCATACTTTATCACACAACAATGCTACAATCACTGCCAAAAGTCTTGAAACACTAACGTAGGTTTTCAAAGGCAAATTCAGCCATCCCCCTCTCCCCCTAGAAACAATGTTGATTTATTATAGAAAATTGAAAGGGGTTATGGAGTACGCTTTTTCTTGTGGTTTGTTTGATATTTTTTTATACTTTCAATATCGTTTCTGGGGAAAGGGGGACGAAAGAAGTAGTATTCGGGAAAACAAATGAAAAATAGAAACGCACAGAGCAAAGTGTTGGGTGTTCCAAGTAATTTTGGCAGTGATTGTACCTACGAACAGATGCCTCTGCTTGCATGGGCATCTTGCAGCCTTCTGGGCTCCTGCAATTATGCTCGTGCATTTAGCACCGGCACCCCACGAGACTCTTTGAGACGAAGAGTAATTCACCTGATATTACTGATATCATCTAACCTGACCGTTGCAACTTTTATTTTAATGTTGTTCAATGGCTTAACAAAAATTTGGGGTAAGCGTAACAAATTGGAATCTGAGTTTCTCAATGTAGACAATCTTGAATAGTTTTTGCTAATCGTTAATGGTACCACTTCACCGCTCTCTTTGTTATGATGCAACAACTGCAGATTCTCAGTCAGATCTTACTGGTTGATTTCTCCCTGATGGTTGTGTAGAACAGAAAACTATTTTACTGATTTTCTAGAGAAGTTGCTGTGAAAAGTGGCACTGTGATTTCCTTAAAAAGAGCTACTATCCAACCAACCTTTTTCCATAAACAGTGCTAACATTTAGGGCTGACAAGAACTGAGCTAAGAACTCCACAAACTCTATCTTTGAAAAACACTGATAAACTCAAGGGAAGATTGCTTTGCTGCAAATGATCATGATGACGTTTGCAGACTTTATACGAGTTCATATAAGTAGACACATTAAAAATCACTGTAGAGATCCTCATGAAAATTTAAATATTCAAGGTAGAAGCATGCTCACCTGTATCAGGAACATCAGTTGGTCTCATAATTCTCCTTATCTGTTCCATTGACTGTAAATCAGGAGATAGACCTAGAGTGAAAATTTCACAGAAAATTTTAATTATACAGCAAACATTGTGCAAACTGGCTATAGTTTTGTGTGAATAAATTTAATAGAAACTAGAGAATATATATATATAGTAGAAATCTTTAAAAATTTGTTAGTAAAAAACAATTATATATATAGTTTCAAAAAACAAATTTCAAAAAAGGTACATATCTTGTTTTTGCATTAACTAGCACAGGAAGCAATAAACGTTATTGCGAAATCAAGAAATCTGAAGAATCACCAAAAATTTTCATTCCTAAATATAGCTCCTGCCCAGGCCCATCAAAATGGGAGGCAGGGGGCAATTGCCCCTCGGCATGTAAAAGAAAAGGGGCCCACTAGTAATAAAACTGTCTCTACTAAAATATGACTTTCAATATGACTTCCTGTGAAAGTTTAATGATGCTTTTTGAATACAAATAAAAAAGTGAATAAAGAACATCTTGTGTATTTCAGACGGGTATTGAATGCAATTTTGGTTTATTTTCTTTTTCATAAGTTGTGAAGGGCACAAGCACTGAGCCTGCACCTTGGCCCCAGGTGCCTCAGCCACCCTGCTTCTGACAGTGATTTTCAATAGCTAATTAACAGTTGAAATTTAGAATAGAGGATATAATCAAATACATATACAGCCTAATATTTAAACAATACTTTTATCCTAAAAACACATCAGATCTGTTGTAACCATTGCAATCTTCAAATCTGGTCAAATAGAAATACATGGTAAATCTTAAGAACCAACAATCAAAACTATGATGAAAAATCATTTGGGTTGTGGAAAAGCAAAAGTTTTAGAAAAAGTGCTGATACCTCCATGCATGCAAAGAATCTTCTCATCAACTATAGCAGCTATTGGTAAACAGTTGAAACAATCTGTAAATGTTTTCCAAGATTTTACACTGAACCGTCTCTTGCCTGGAGAAAAAGTAAAAGCAAGATATGAAATTACGAGCAACTAAAAAAGAAGTGAAAGTAAATTTGAGTAGGACTGCAGCCTTTTTTTCACTTAATTTTATAGGATAGCTGATCTTAATCACATCAGGTCTATTGCCACAATATCTAAAATGGATTCAGCAATTTTGCTTTTTGATGAATTTGATGAATTTTGATTAAAGTAATGAGAAAATCTTTGTCACAGGGAGTGACTCAAGGATAGGAATATCCTGGGAGAAAATACAAGCAAGCTACACAGCAGGAAACTGGGCAGCATGTGAATGGTTTTGGATTTGAAAACCTGACCAGGTAGCTTAGTTGAATGTTTTTCAACAACTGTGTTAAGCACACTATAGTACAATGAAAATTTTTTGTGCGCTGTGGAAAATTCTCAAATTTTACTTTATTTGAGGGTGTAAAAAATTGAAGAAAAACCTTGTGTTTGTTGGTCATGGATCAGTATTGTTGGTCATGGAAAGTTACGGTATTGTTGGTCATGGATCTTTGTCTTAATTTGGTTGTGTCATTTGCTCACCCCTTTTCAGTCAGGCCTTACAAGGAGAGGTGCTTGATCGAGCGCCATTGCCTCCACACTCCCCTTGCAAGTTCTAAGTGCTTGATTATATGAGCACCTTCAGCGTTTCAGAAAACTATTTGCGATTAATATTGGGTATTTACAAACAAATTGTAAAGCTAGCTGTCAAATTACTATGATAAGTAAAGAAATTTCCATCTCTCCTAAATTTTCAAAGAAAACAATGAAGAATTAAAATCGTTTCTAAGAAACACGCACTACGTTGTCACGTACTAAGAAACAACTTTTTGGTTCAACCATTACAGCCGCATCATTCTCTCGAACTTTCATAGACGAGCCTTATTTTCATAGAACATGTGCCTTGGGGAAATTGTGGTTTCGCTAGTATTAATGCAAAATAAACTGTGAAACTCAGAAAGTTTAATAATGGGGAAAGGAGGGCGTAATTGGTTTCAAAAACAAAGAAATAAGCAACCGCCACTAAGTCACAAGGTGCTTGAATGAGCCTCTTGATCAGTTTGGTGGCTCATTTCTCTGCTCTCCTGTTGTTTGCCCATTACAAAGCCTGCTTTCAGTATATTTAATCATGTCCTGTATATTTGGCAGTATATTTGGCAGTGCAACATTGGGAACACAATCCTGAATTGTTACTTCATGACACCAAAAATGTTTATTTCCCCTGAGCTTTTATAGAAAAAGTTGACAGAAATATACTTTATTCTGTTGGGGGCACAATGGTTGGCGAGAAAAAGGAATAGAAAAACTTGAATACTGTGATGGTATACACTGAAACTTGGGGGAGAAGGATAACATGAAGGACAGGAAACAAACTAGTATAATGGTAAATGTGTTTGCTGAAAATTAACATGATTCCTTTCTTTGTCAAACAACTTGTAAAAATATCTCAAACAATTTTTGGGGTACAGAACTTGAAAATGGCTTTGAAAAAAGCAAAAATTTCACAACGATGTTTGCTTTTTTTAAAGCCAATCCTAAAGAATGTTTGGCTCTATGATTGAGTCTCAGCCTGGACAGATTCACTAAAAAGGGCAATATTTGTCACAGACAATTTCAAACTTTCACTTAATAAGCATGATCTTCCGAATAATTTCATCCTTACCCACATACCCCCAAAATTTTAACACCTACTGCATCCATGTCTCAGTTTAATAGGAGATAAAAAACCTAGATATAAATAATTGACAATTATCTCTAATATCAACTAAAAAGACAAGAAAATTATCAAAAAATGTGAGCACATACATTCATCATAGAAACCATAGATTCTGTTGATGCTAGCACATTCATGATTGCCACGCAAAAGGAAGAAATTCTCAGGATATTTGATTTTGTATGCAAGTAAAAGGCATATGGTTTCTAATGACTGCTTTCCTCTGTCCACATAATCTCCAAGAAATAGGTAGTTTGCTTCTGGGGGAAAACCTCCATATTCAAACAATCTCAACAAGTCAGAAAACTGACCATGGATATCACCTGCAGAATGGAATTGCAAAAAAGTAGGTAGTTTGCACACTATTACAAATAAGAATAAGAACACACTAGTACAAACAAGAATTGTAAAAAGAACACACACAGGTATCAACTAGCTTAAAGATAATTTAGAAGACTGTATCAATGAGGAGATTAAGATGATACAACATCATTCATGCGATTTGTACCAAAAAAGTTGTAAAAATTAAGCCCATGCGAATCTCAAATTATATCATAATGAGTGGTTTAAATGAAAGGTAGAAAGTTCATAAATTTGCATAAATCTTTCTTTTCAGTAAAGGACAGAATATTGACTTTCCTTGGCAATCAAATTCTGAGAACAGTAACAGTTCTATAAAAGAAACAAAACAAAGACCCAATCTTCCAAACAATAATGTCCAACAAATTAGCATACAGAATCTAGTATCTTTTGGCATATATAAATATCAAAAGTTGGTCATTACCACAAATCTTTAGTGGGGCTTCTAGCTCTAAGAGAATTGGCTGACTCAGGAACAACTCTCTTGATTTGAGACAGAGACATCTAACTTCAGCTTCGGTCATCTGTACCGTTTTGCCAGGTCTTCCGCGAGCTGGCAAAGGAAATTAAAACATAATTTAGAGGAGAAAAAGAAAATGGTGTAATGGAGGCACCATGATCCTCTGCAAAAAAACAGATGGGCCCCTATTCATCGACTGCAAAAAAGTCCCATCTAAGGGTGTACGGCACATCAAACTCAATGGCAAGGTCTGTAATGATACTTCCTTGTTAACTAGGGAATCTGAGTTACATGGTTCAGTAAGAGCGCGTTTAGAACTTTTGTAAACAAAGTTAACTGAGGCAAGTCTAAGAAACATGGATATCTTAGGGGCCACTTTTGATCAAGGGACTTTAGTCTCCAAACTAAGGTGTGCTAAATTGTGTTATGCCACTGTATGCAAAATCACCAACTCATCAAAAAATTCATGCAAAATGCGAAGAAACTGCAGCCTGTTTTAAATAAGGTAAAAGAGCCAGTTAAGTCTTTGGACATTTGTTGTTAAAAAACACAAGGCCAGCAATAGTAACTTGAAATAAAACAGCCCCCACTTTGTTAGATGTTTGTTAAAAGATACCAAACAGTATTGAGTTACTCAAATCTGCCAGTTTGCTGACACAAGTAACAACCACTTCAAATTAATAGAAGCTGTAAAAATCCTTCTGTTTTTAATTTTTTCCATGGAATTTAACTTGTTGCTTCTGAATGATACAGTTTTGCAATCTTAAAATGATGTTGATATTGATAACTTGACAACTGCTCACTTTTGAGCATTAGTACATCTCAGTGGTGGAAATTCATTTTTCAAGTGGGGGGGGGGGCAATGCCCACAAAAGCAAGCAAATTTGCAGATAAATGACATAATTTACTGACAAAACTGACAATTTAGCAAAACCTGGGGGCAGTTGCCCTCCACACTCCGCAATTTCCAACACTGGTACACCTGCATTAGCATTGTTGAGTTGATTGATCCCTATCTCATATAATATTAAGGGACCAACATTCTATGGTGTGAAAAACAGTTTGCAGTCACATCTGTCCATGCAGCTGTGTTTTCCAGCCTTTTCCCAAATAGGATGTAAAGGATGTTTTTTTTCCAAATACTTTTGAGGGTTTAAAGTGAAAAAAGTGCAAGAGTAATGTCTCACACAATCTTAAACTTGATTAAACTACAAAAACCGAGCTCAGGATTTACTGATATATAACTTTTTTATGCTTTTAATTTCCTAACAAACAACAAAGACATATTATTACAGGCACCACCAGTCTTGTCTTGCACTACTGCCATAACACAAACATGCAGCCCTCTTTTTGCAACTTCTTTCCATGGTCCTTAGATTAATTTAATATATGTTTTGCATCAGAAAACGTTTAGATTCATTTATCTGGCACAGAAACAAATTTTGCCTTAAAAACCTCAAAGGCACTATATAGATTACTCAGCAATAATTGTTGAAAAAAATGTAAAGACCCAGATTTCCAAAACTTCCTTTTGGTCTTTTGTAATCAAGTTTCCTTAGCATTGTTATTTAAGAAAGATCTATAATGACTATTATTTTATCTCTGAGTTACAAAACAATGAGTGAAGGCCAAAAATGAATTGATTATCATTCATTTCACAGAAAGGCTCTATGGTTACCAGAATTTTGAGTTTGTGAAACCACCATGGTAACAATAAGGGCGTTTCAGCCAAATTTCTAGGCCTGAAATGGACTTTCCTATTAGGTACCTTAGCAGCCCCAAAAATTGCAAATCAGGATGTTTAGTCTTTTTTCCAATCACTGTGATGGGATCTGCCTTAGGCTAGGTTCACATTGCAAGATATTTTTGCACCTCATCATGTATGCTGATCTTTGCTAAACTGATCCCTTACAGTGTTCAGAATGCAGGTATTTTGACAAGCAGAAACTAACATTGCGAGGCATTGTAACTTTGAAATAAGCAATTAGTTAATAAACAAGAGTACGCAAGATGGATTTTGAACTGTTCATTTTGGAATTGGAAAATAGTACCCTAAGCACTATAACAGGGTTTTTTACTGCTAATTACAGAACAGAAGTCACAGAAATATTGTTGTAAATGGCTTTGAAAAAAGCAAACATTTAGTAAACTAAAGCTTTTCAGCTGACACTCTTCAGAGTTCAAAATGTCAGAACATAGATCGAAAACTCTATGCTAAGAAATATATATAAATAAATAAATATATATGTTTCGGATTATTGGTAAAACCCGATCGTTGTTCCACTTAGCAGTTTTAGAATCTATCTACATAAGCACGAAAAAACCGCTACTGTGTAGACAAAAGGAGTTTGTTTTCACCTTAGGACTCCATTGGTAACATTCTCAATAGGCAAGCGGCACTGATTGGTCAACCTATACAGTAATGTGCTCGTGTTTCTGATTGGCCTATTTCGATCCACAACTGGGTATATATATTTCTTAGCGTAGAGTTTTCGATCTATGTTCTGACGTTTTAAACTCTGAAGAGTGTCAGACAAAAAGCTTTAGTTTACTAAATGTTTGCTTTTTTCAAAGCCATTTGCAAGTTTTGTACCACCAAAAGATTGTTAGAAATATTGTTCTGAAGTTTTGTTCTGCTTGGCTTTGGAGTAATATCTTTCATGCTAATTTTTGAAAAATTCAAAATACAGCTCTCCGGGATTGTTATTGATCCATTTTATTTCCACTTTACAGTCCCTTTCAGTATCAAACAACCATAAAATTCTAGTGTGCATGCCTTGTGACTGCATTAAATCTGTACTTCTTAAAGGTACCAGTATGTAGCCTGTATGTAAAATTCTAACAAATGTAGCCTGCCAGGAGACTTTACAAATAAGAGAAATCATAAAGTCTATGCAGCGCATATTTTCTTATATCCAGTACATCACCGTATCCCTAAAGTATTGTCTTTGCAATCTTTTAGCATTGGCATGATTGTTTCAAAATGAATTTCAATAATTTGTAGTAGACAAAAGTGCTTGCAAGGATGCCA